TGAAGCTGTAGTTGTTTAGATAATCGATCATCACTTTTTGTCTAAGTTTTGTATAAATTTGATCTCTGTTTTCTTTAATAGTGATAGGTATGTTATGTATTTCTTTATATTTTTTGAGTGCTTTTGTAAAAAGATTTTCGTATTCCATTTGGTGTGTTAGTTTTGTTTTAGTTGACTTGGTAAAAGCGCGGAAGAAGGCTGTGTCTTGGTATTTGAATTTGAGTTCAATAGCTGGAGGAATTGCGTGATTAGTAGGTAAGACAGATACTTTGTATTGGGTATATTGAGTTATGTCTTGTAAACTTTTAAGTGCTTCTAAAATCTTGTCGTTATTCCAGATTTTGTAACTGAAGGGGGTATCAGTTGCTTGTTGTAGAATTTTTAGTGTAGCTCGTGACCAGAGTGTGGCTTTGTCAGATTACTGTTGGTTTTGTTTAAATTGTACTACTTGACTATAGAGGAGCTGTGCAGTTATTAGGGAAGGTGCAGTATATGCTCTAAAGGTATTGATAGTTAATAGATCATCTAATTGGGTTTCTGCTGTATTCCATAGATTGTCGGTAGGTTGTAGGCATGTTGTATTTCCTATTATGGGTTGTTGAGAGCTATTGTTATTTTGTTGTATCGAGTTGTTGTTGTTGTAATCAGATATAGGTACGTAATTGTTGTTTTTTCCCATGGTTGTTTTGTTGTATGTGTGGGATGATGTCATAGTTGAATTTGATGGAGTGAGCTAGTTTTGCCATTTTTTGAGTATAGGGATGAGCAAGAATAGTCTTCTTGTTGTTGTTTTTTGTTAGGATATCTATTGATATGGTCGGTTTAGTAGTCTTTAGTAGTATTAATACTATCTACTGTATGTATCTTTATAGACTGTTATTGGTGGTCCATTTTTTTGGTTTTCCGCTTTAGTTGTGGGGTAACCTTGTAGGTTATTTTGTATATTAGGTTGTTGTTGCTTTTATCTCTTGTTCTTTTAGTTATTTTGATATCTGCTATTTCTTTAAGTCTATTGGGTTCACTAGAAGTGCACTTCCTGTTGTTGTTTTATATAGTTAGTTAGTTATAATCTATAGTTTTTGATTTTTTTATTTTTTGTTTATTTAATTTTAGTGATGTACAAGAAAGAGTTTTTTATTTTTTGTAATATCTTTTAAAATATTAATAAAATAAAATAAAATAAATTTTCTAAATCTAATTCTAATAGTAATTAATATAATAAAATTTAAAAATAAAATTTGTAATAATTGATAATTATATAAATAAAGTTAATAAAAAAATATAAATTATAATTTAATAAATTAAATAATAAAAGTTGTACTGAATAAAGTTTTAACAAATAATAAAGTTGTAACAAAAAATAAAAGTCTAATAAAAAATAGTGTTATATAACAAATAATTATAATGAATAAGAGCATAACAAATAAATTATAACAATAAAGTTATAATAATAAAATTTGTAATGTTGTAATAAATAAAATTATATTGAAAAGTTGTAATGAAGAAAATTATAAAATTATAATAAATAATAATTTAAGTAGTTTCTTAAATAAAAGTTCAATAAAGTTGACAATAATGTTCAATTAACAAAACATTCAAATTTTGTTAATATAAAATTGTTTGATAAAAAGTTAACAAAATATTTAAATTTTGTTAAAAATAAAATTGTTTGAAAACTTGTATATTTCTAATAAGAAATATTTGTAATGAATTATTAAATGAAATTTTGTTTATACAACTATTTGTTATTTGAATAAAACAGATAGTTGTTGCAGTACCTATATCATTACCATAACCTATCAGTAGATTGAGCAGTTTATAGGCAGGATTCGAATGTATGATCCTACAATAGTCACACAATATTATCACTTTACTACAACAGGTAATTGTCTAATTTTCAAAATTTTCCTGTTTAAAATAGTTCTAATTCTTGTAAAGTATCTAATTAAAGCATAAGATTTCATGTGATTAAGTTAGTACAATGCAGGAGTTAAGTATAATATTGATCATTAAGTTTGGAAAGTTCATAAAATATCAAAATAATTCAACATTTATATTAATAATAATATCTACATCAATATGGTGTACACTTATCGAAAACAATACAAACGAGAAAGATTTCTACATAGACATCAAGAAGGATAAATATTAAATTAATAATAAAAATAAAAATAATAGTAATAATAATATTAATAATAAAATGTTTATAATTATAGAAAATAAACAGGTAAAAATTGGTAAAAATAATATAATATAAGGGGTAATAGTAATAATAATAATAATTATTACTAGAAAATCAGGATCTAATAAACGTTCGAAGCACAAGTATTATAATTAGAGTTAGGATTAGAACAGTATCTCATTTATTATTAAAACATTGCAATAATAATTTTTAATTAGGCTGCAGAAGACAGTTTTCTAAATAAAATTTGGAGTTATTCTTGTTTTTTTATAAAAAAAGTGGATTCGTTTCGATTTTTACGATACACCTAGTTTTGAAATTTGATTGGTCAAATTACAGAGGCGAACAATTTTTTTGTGGAGCATATTACATACTCAATATATAATTTTTGATATGCAATTATTAACAATGCCAAGGTATAGAATCGATTTTCTGATCACATGATTTTCCGAGCTAAAATTAGTCAATGAGAAGTCACAATCAGGTGTAATGTAAAAAAAAATCAAAACAAACGCTCTTTTTGAAAAAATTGAGAATATCTCAGAATTTAATCTAATTATCGTACCGCACTAATTAAAATACCCAGGGTCTTAAACAAAATACCTGATCAAAATCTTATAAAATACCCGGGGGTATCTTGATCAGTAACGAGTATTTTGTGTAGTAGGGTATTTTGTAAGGGGGTATTTTGTGTTGGGAATATAATACACAGAGAATTTTATCATTACACATAATCTTGCATTTGCAAGACAAATTAGGTAAATTCTTTGTTTTAGACATTCGCAAAACAAGAATTTTAAGTAATATACCCCAATTATAAAAGAGAGTAATGTGATCTTGGACATACGGATCTTGTCTATTCTTTTTTAAAAATTAAATAGAAGGTAAAATTTAAAGCGAAAGTATTTTTAATAGAAGTACTTTAATAAAATGATAATACATATTTAAGAACGCTTAGCAGAAAATTAACTAAAAAAAAAAAACTCAATGAAAGCAGCAATAACAAGAAAGAGCTGCAAAGACAGAAGTAGCAACAAGAGCTACAAGGGCAACGGCAACGGCAGTAGCAACAAGAGCTACAAGGGCAACGACAACGGCAGTAGTAACAAGAGCTACAAGGACAACGGCAATGGCAGTAGTAACAAGAGCTACAAGGGCAACGGTAGCAACAAGAGCTGCAACAACAGTGGCAATACAAAGACCTGTAAGGATAACGGATTTATAAACCAGCAAGAACTACAAGTAACTCCCATTATAATAGTGGTGCTTGAACTTTTAAAACTTAGAAAAAATTTACTAGACAGCTCATCGTATGTAATTTGTCATGATTAAGGGTTGATCACAGGATAGATAACAAAAACTGAACCTAGTTTTTGTTATCTATCTTGTTGAAATATCCAAATTAATTTCACATTCAATAAAAGTATATATTAAGAGTTAGATTGTATTCTAAATTTAAGGGGCGTTCATATCTTGGATTATTACTCTTTACTACGTTAAGAGTGGTTGTCAAAAATAATTTGTACGAAGATAATTGCACACAAATAAGATTTATAAGCAGAATAATTTTTTTTTTTTAAAAAAAATAAAAATAAAAACTGATTTATCAAAAAAAAAAAAAATTTCATTATAGGTTTAACCGTAGGCACCAAAGGTTTTTATTATACTAAGAATCAAAATAGTCCGTGGAAATTTTAAAGCTCGTCGCGCCCAAGTAACAAAAAAAAAAAACCGATAGTGGTCAGCACGTAAAAAATTAATGATTATAACTTACTATGAACAAGGGCATAGCAAGCATTCAACAGTTGATAAATTCGAAATAGAACCGAAGCAACTTAGAGAATGGATTAGTAAAAAACAAGAGCTTATGAAAGTTGCACTATATGTTCAAAAGCTAGCACCTGGTGCTAAACCTAAGTATCCTAAGCTTGAAGCTGAGTTATTTGAATGGTTTCACCAGGCCCGATCCCAGCAAAAAACCGTCAGTCGCTATATGATTCAAGCAAAAGCTCATTCTCTTGCTGCCACTTCTAGCTACCAAAAACAGTTTCATGGAATTGAAAATCATAAATTTTTCCAAAAATAGGTAGATGGATTTATATCGCGGCATAATTTGGTTAACCACAGGCGTACTACTACCGCTCAACATCTTCCTGAAACTTATAATGAAGAACAAAGCAAATTTTTATCCCTTATACTTTACAAACATCAAAGTTATGATTATTCTTTATCTTTAATTTGCAATATGAATGAAACTGCTGTATCTTTTAATATGACAAATACCACCACAATTGAAGAAAAAGGATCCAAAACTATATCAATCGCATCAACTGGGCATGAACGTTCGATATTTACGGTTGTTTTAGCTTGTTTAGCTGATGGTACAAAGCTCCTGTCTGTAATTATTTTTAAACTAGTTAAGGTGCCTCGTGAAGAATTTCCTGATGATGTTATTGTACGTGCAAACCCTTCAGGATGGATGAATGAAGATGAGATGGTATGGTGGGTGGAGAACGTTTGGACTCGATGAGCACAACGTGGCAATAATCCACATTCTCTTTTCATTATGGATGCATTTGCTGGTCACACAACAGATCGTGTAAAACGACGTTTTCAAGAAAAAAATACTGATCTTGCAATAATTCCTCGTGGTTTAACATCCCGCCTACAACCGCTTGATGTCTCCATAAACAAGTCGTTTAAATCAAAGGTAATTTTTAATTTATTATATTTTTATCTTTATTAGAGATGCAGACATTGTTTAGATTAAGGGTAGCTATTTTCTTGTAATATATAAAAATTGGGTAGCTGCCACATATAGCTATGCAGTATATTATTTAATGTCTGCATCTTTAATCTTAATTTTTTTTTTTTTTTTTTTTTTATAATATAAATAGGTTCGTCACTTATATAACCAATGGTTTGATGAGGGTATCAAGGAATTTACACGTTCGCGTAAAATGAAACGTCCATCTTACGGTTTAGTTGCAAGTTGGATTAGTAAAGCTTAGAAATCTGTTGACCTCAACCTGATTAGAAAATCATTTAAATGTTGTGGGATTTTAAATGCGGTGGATGGAACTGAAGATGATTTAATTTTTGACTTCTCTCGAATTGATAATCAAATAAATCTAGAAAGAGGAATTGAAGATCAAGCTGAAACAGCTAATAATAATGAAGAAGGAGATGGTGAAGAAGACGATGGTAAAGACAATGAAGAAGGAGACGGTGAAGACAATGAAGAAGACAGTGAAGATAATGAAGCAGTCAATTATGACGATAATAATAATAATACACATGAAGACCCTTTTGTGTATATTGACTATTATAGAGAAAATGAGAACTCCAATATTATTCAAGATTGGAATTAGTCACCACAATACATTTGGACGATGGACATTTAATAAATATTGGTA